CGCCCCCACCGGCACATCAACGCCAGACGCGGTAGCTGAACCATTAATAGCGAGGGTGACCACGAGGGACATGGCAAACAACGGCAAAGATCATAGGCAAGACATGTTCGATACTCGACGAAAACACCAAGTTTCGATGTCTTAAGGGGGCCAAAACAAGAAAAGGGGAGCGGCGACACACAGGAACGCTTTCGAGGAGGGATTTGATTTATTTGTGCTCCTTCACTCGTGTGTGACGAAAGCAAGCTGGTCGCTAACGGCAAAAAACAACAGCCAAAACGTCAGCCGCTATGACAACAGCGTTAGCCGTAAAACCACCCATGATAAAACAACAGCAACGACGACGAGGACAACGAGAACGTCAACACCAACAGAACTAAAACACTCTCAACGACAGCAACAAAACAAGGATCGACACAAATAAACACCCACATAGAAGTGTCTTGTGTTTTCAAATGCACTCAGACTGACGTCTTTTCATTGGTCAGCCGGTTAGCGCGGTCGATGCTAACCATAAAACACACACACACCACCACCGCCACGAGACGCCATCACAATCAACAACTCTCCCAGCAGAGCAGCACCTTCTGCAGGATGGCTTGGCTTTCCTCGGTAGACCAGCGCTCCTCCCAGCCCGGCGACTTTTCCGTTGCGGTAGACGACATGCTTGAGGCAATCTCTCCTTCTCTTGACAACGGATGACCTGGGGGATCGATAGATCACAAACGGACGGCAATAGAAAGCAGGTTTACAGAACACCCGGGCGAACATCGAATGGCATATTGGAAAGGTCGGTAACGGCCCCGAACACCGCACAGAACAGGTGGACAATTACGAAATACGTACGTCCAAACTCGGATCACAGGGCTCATTCAATGCCTGACGATGAACTCTCTCTCCCCGTCCTACACTGTAGCGTATACAATATTAGATAAAGACTTATCCACTATGCTACTCAGTCCAGCGCTGACTGAGTAGCATAGTGTGATCCAGCCGGGATTCGAACCCTTGTGTGTTTCTTTTGTTAGATAAAGCAGTAACTGAGTAGCATGGTGGATAAGTCTTTACCTAACATACACCGCTAACTTGCGACTCAAGCTTCCGAAGTTGGGGCGGTGGCTCTACGTCGTCCATGGATTACCACCGTATGAGCCAGAGTCAAAGGGCACCCCATCGGGGTTGGGTTTTCGTCGCTTGGCAACGACGTTGTAAAACAAGCCGCCCCCCCCGGTGTTTGCCATCGGGATTGGGTTTTCGTCGCTTGGCAACGACGTTGTAAAACAAGCCAATTCACTTCGTGAACTCGGCAACCAGGTTACCGTTCTTTTTTTTTTCCTCCGTTTATTTTTTTTGGGCGGTAACCATAATGATGGTTGAGTAGATCATGTTGTGCGGGGTGAACCCTCACTCCGCGCAAGGGGGATGATCGCACCACGTTGTGTTGAAATGGTCAAGCACCCTCGAGGCAGTTACACAGTGCTTACAACTGTCTCTGGAAGTGAAAGCACCAGAAAATAAATTAATTCATACGCAGCTGTCATCCGTACGCAAGGAAGTAAGCACAAGATGCCGAACACCCTTAGCAGGATGCAGCGCACCCTTCATGCGACTCGCCGAATATCTCACGGCGCTTCGCGCTTGGTGATGTGAGAGCCTGGTCCGGTGAGAACCCGGCGTGCTCCGTCCCGGCTTTGTAGGGATGCGAGGTCAATGGTCTAACGACTACGGCATGCACGACTATGAGTACACCCCCCAGTGTGTGATCGATCGCGTTTGGCGAAACTTTCGTGCCTCGACCTCTATCGCACCCTCATCATCTCACATCGCAGCTCTCCAAAGCATGTGCCAACTGTCCGTGCCCTTGTTCGTAGTAATTCGTCTATGGCTGTATGTGGCTGTAGTAGCTCATCAAGCCATCACATGGGTCTCTAGAGATGTACCAGGACGCAACCACAAAAATACCCGAAACAAACGCGCTTCTGTGTGTGTGCCGGCGCCAGCAAAAAGAACAGAATAAACGCCCACGAGATCTCTCCGCCCCNCCCCCCCCCCCCCTCCCGCGTGCGAAAATCGTAATTTACCCGCCCTCGTTCTTGATTCTTTGCAGCACGATGGTTGATGCCAATTGTCCGATCAATGCCAATTCACCGACCGTATGGCAAGTTGGTGCGGCTATCATATGTGCGGTAATTGTGATACACTGTTTGTCTGCGAATAGTATATCTTGCTGGGCTCCGAAGGTCCACAAGCTTTCATCATGTTTAGGGTTTGCTTCGCGAGTGCAATGACTTTTTACGAGGGCCCTTGATATGTTTGGGTACCTTGTTTTCGGGTTAATTGATCTTGCTTGTGACCGGGCATTCGTCTATTTTGCCTCTTAGGTTTTCTTCAAGAAATGTAGGCATACTCTTGGCGATAACAACAACAGCAACAACAACAACGCACATCACTTTGTACACGAGATTACACAGACAGGAGGCGTATCAGTGTACATGAAGGCTCTTTCTCGCTCAAAAACCCGTGTAGCGACTGCTACTAGTCTACATCATCGTCGTGGGACATACGAAGTTTAGCACGCAAACACTGCATTCAAGATAACCACCGCGCATCGGCAACGGATACAGCCCAGCACCTTCTTCCCGTGCACCCGAGCCTACAATGCTGGTTGCTACAGCATACAGCAGTGCCACATACATACAAGTACTAGCATCAGCATTGTACCTGATCCGAGCATATACACAATGAGTGGGAACGGCCGCATTTCTTTATCTTTTTTCAAGGGATGGATGTTGCACCCTGAAGAGTGCGGTAATGTATGTTGTCACGCACTACAGCAGTATTTACTATGCATATTCTTCAGTAACCAAAAGGTCGTCACTACTGTATCAACGTCAATACAGCAGCAAGAATGCACGTTGAGGGGTCCATTTTCAGTATAAAGTGGCGGAGGAAACGAAGTGATGCCTATACTATCCCCGGTTTGTGCCGTTCAAACCTCCCGCGGGCAGTATATTACAATAAATAGTGTCCACTCCTGTACTAGATAAAACCTATCTATCCCTTGTTCTGTATAGTGTCGGTCCCTCTGGAACATTGCCGGTGAACTGGTCTGGTCCATGCCGGCACCTGCTGAGGGCCCTCTACTCCGCTGTGCTGCAGTCGTATAAATACGGGGTCGGGGCGCTGTAATTATGGGGCCCCCGACTTCGAGAATTAAAGTGCTTTCGTCCCATCCATCTGTTTGGGCCCATTGGCCAATGTTTTTTGGCGCATTTGGCATGCATGATGCATGCCTTTAACACACCAGCTAGGGTCACACAGCAGCAGAAACAGGAGGAAACAACTGTTCACCGTCTTCCTTTCCTTCCCCCTGCGGTGTGTTATTTTTCTGAAATGTGGGGAAGTCTAGACTCTAGTCTAATGCGGCAGGTCCATTTTCAAGCTTTTTTCGAGATACGACTCTAATTGGCCACCTCTTGTGCATAATTTTTTTCAAGCCAGAGAGATTAGAACATGCAATCTAGAGAGAGACAAAGAGCGGCTCAGAAGGTTACGAGGGTAGCAGCTGAACCCGCGAGGCGAGAGACTTGTTTGCCAATATCACCGATAGCTGGTGGAGCCTGCACAACAATGAGTTCATCCGAACGACAAATGCACCAAGAAATGACACTCCGACTACGTGTAGTCTCAGGAGGCGGCGTGGCACACAACAACAACGGCCGTGTTCTCGCTCTTCTCGAGGACGCTGGCAACAACTCACGGCGGCCTATGCAAGAAAGCCAGGCCGGGCGGGCGTGAGGCGTGCTAGCACACACTGCGCTGTACCTCCGTGAAACGGAAAATGCAACAAGCATCGCATTCGTCTACATACCTGCTGTGCAGAAAGAACAGATGGTTTGCTTGTGTATCTCCTTCTAACGAGAGTAGCACAGACAGCAGGGGCACAGCAGTAATAGCAGCAGCCGCAGCAGCAACAACAACACACCTGAGGCTTGGGGGACGAAGCGAGTGAGCTGACTCGAAGAGGACGATCAAAAATAGGGGATGCGGTGATGCGGTCCTTCCGCCATACGCTATTCGCTTCTTGTCGAATCGGTACATCACAGAGATCCCACCTGGAGACCGACCGTTTTCCTATGGTAAATTCCAGGAAAATAATTTTTGTCGGGAGAACAGTTTCGTCCGCATATCTTACGGTGTACACTAGAGTTGTGAATCGGAACGATGTACACGATATATATCGTCCGATATATATCGATATCGGTATCGAAAATTCTTGCCGATGTTCCGACCGATGTTTTCTTAGGGGCTCCGTGAATCAAATTTAGGGTATGCGCAGCAGTACGGAGCCCCTGTACGCCACACACACACAGCACAGCAGCGCAGAAACAGCAGACAACAGCACCATGTCCAGAACCAACCGGGNACCGGTCGCCCCGGAGGTCTAGTGGGTAGCCTCGCAGCCTGCTAAGGGCCAGTTCATGGGTTCGAGTCCCGGCAGAGTGAGTTTTTTCTCACTAAATAAATCCTGGTCTAGGATGAAAGCGACGCGCCGCAGAGTTCGTTGTTAGTAGACTGGACCATAATCGACCTCGTAAGTCGCGAGGGAAGGGATTGCTGTAACCTTCTCGCGATAAAAATCTAGGGTTCCCACCTTTTTTTGACCCGAGAATTTTGACACAAGGCAGCTCGGGTCAAAAAAAAGTGACGGTTGATATTTTGACACGAACTTATTTCGCCGCTTGTTACCTTTCGGAGCTCAGCAGCGGCGAAATCTCGATTTTAAAAAAACACTCAGCGCAAGACCGAAAACCTAACGGCTGAGCCTCGGAGCCTCCACCCCGTAAACGCTACGAACCGAGGGAATGGCGCGCCTTGAACGAGGTAGAATCCGCTATGAGCGGTATGATGAATGCATGCAGATCATGGCTCTGGCCCTGCTCTGCGCATTGGCCGGAGAGGAGGACTTGTTTCTCGTGATGACCATGTTTGGTCTTGTCAAACTGGAGGCCTACCAAGAGCTAGTAGCGCCTACAACCCTGCAGGGTGTGTACCCGATGTACAACATCTTCGACGCTATCGGAGGCTTCGACTTCAAGGAGCTTTTTAGGTTCGAGAAGCCTCATTTTCGCTTGCTGCTGCAAGAGCTCCAGAACAAATCCCCCAACACAGGCAGCCCTAAACCTCCCCTTCACGGGTGGGGCGCCCGACTGCTGTTATGTTGGCAATCACTCCTGTGCTTGTTTTCGGACCAACCTCGACCTGTTTTTTTCTCGAACCCTCGATGAACGCAACCGTCCCTGACGCGGATTGGCACCAGCAGGAGTGCGATGTGCTCCCGGGATTGTTTTTGCAGACGTGTGTGGGTGTGCGGCAGTGCTTTGCGAGCTGGTAGGCGGAGTTGATCGCTTTGTGGGGGCTTCGGGGGCACCTCGTGTCAAAACAAAAATTCGCCCCGAATTTTGACACGTCTTCCAGAAAAATCTGACCTGGAAATTTTGACCCGAAAGAGGCGGCGTAACCTCTCGGGTCAAAAAAACCGCTCGTGTCAAAATTTCAGGTCAAAAAAAGCACACGTGGGAACCGTAGAATATCTCAGGCAGGAACCGCAGGAGGGAATCCAACCCCCCCCTCCTGTGTGACCCCGGTTGGGTCGTCTAGCAAGTGGATTTGGAGGATAGGGGCCAGAGGGGCTGACGACAGAATCCAATATATACGGTTCCCACCTGTGCTTTTTTCGACCTGAAATTTTGACACGAGCGTTTTTTTCGACCCGAGAGGTTACGCCGCCTCTTTCGGGTCAAAATTTCCAGGGCAGATTTTTCTGGAAGACGTGTCAAAATTCGGGGCAAATTTTTGTTTTGACACGAGGTGCCCCCGAAGCCCCCACAAAGCGATCAACTCCGCCTACCAGCTCGCAAAGCACTGCCGCACACCCACACACGTCTGCAAAAACAATCCCGGGAGCACATCGCACTCCTGCTGGTGCCAATCCGCGTCAGGGACGGTTGCGTTCATCGAGGGTTCGAGAAAAAAACAGGTCGAGGTTGGTCCGAAAACAAGCACAGCAGGAGTGATTGCCAACATAAATAACAGCAGTCGGGCGCTACTAGCTCTTGGTAGGCCTCCAGTTTGACAAGACCAAACATGGTCATCACGAGAAACAAGTCCTCCTCTCCGGCCAATGCGCAGAGCAGGGCCAGAGCCATGATCTGCATGCATTCATCATACCGCTCATAGCGGATTCTACCTCGTTCAAGGCGCGCCATTCCCTCGGTTCGTAGCGTTTACGGGGTGGAGGCTCCGAGGCTCAGCCGTTAGGTTTTCGGTCTTGCGCTGAGTGTTTTTTTAAAATCGAGATTTCGCCGCTGCTGAGCTCCGAAAGGTAACAAGCGGCGAAATAAGTTCGNAGTGTGCGGTTACAGTGTTGTGTGACTCGCTTCGCTCGAAGGCACTTGGCGAGGTTTCGGGCGCGGTGNATGGGAGAAAAAGCCATTGCCTGGTTTGGTGTGGTGTTGTTTGTGCAATGGTTTTGGAGTAAGACAAAGTGGCATCGTAACTCGCTTCGCTCGCAGACACACTTCACGGGGTTCCGGACGCGGTGCAGTGTGCGGTTACAGTGTTGTGTGACTCGCTTCGCTCGAAGGCAATTGGCGAGGTTTCGGGCGCGGTGCAGTGTGCGGTCACAGTGTTGTGTGACTCGCTTCGCTCGAAGGCACTTAACGGGGTTCCGAGCGTCGTACAGTGTGCGTCACAACTGTCAGTAGTGCCGTGTTGCTCGCATGTACTCAAAGGCAGTTCGTGCGCAGCAGTGTCATGTTCCCCCCTTTCGAGGAGTTTCTTATGTGCTTCGTCACACACCGGTGTGCCTCTCCTCTCCTTCTAATATTGCACAAGGTGAATAATTGCTCGACCGTTCAGCAAGTCTTTAGAGCGTTGATGGCATCGATGGGCGGTTGGAACGCCTCCTTGAGGAACTCTCTTGCTAACTCTCTGTCCTGCAAGACATCGTCTGGTAACACGAGGAACAGACCGTCGAGAGTTTTCCCCCTGGACACGGTGGTATACCCCTGACCCTGGGCGAAGAACCCTCTAGAGGGAATCCACACGGCCACCCTTTCGAACCCTACCCCTTGCACTCTGTTTACGGTCATCATGCAAGCAGCGCCCATGAAAGGCCACTGCTTAACGACATACGCGCCGCTGACCGCTACCCCTCTGCAGTAGGGCACCCATACCATTTTGTCCTCGAAGGGCTGTATTTTGACAGTGCTCTCCCTCCCCTTGCCGGTCGTAAGCTCAACCTCGACCCACGCTGGGCGCTTGTTATGGTAGTATGGAGTGTCCCGTGCCCCGGCAGCAGTTTGTAGAGAGTCAGCGTGGTGAATTCGAGCACAAGATAGAGAGACAGAGAAGGAGTACGAGCGAAGAGAGACGTACAGCAACTGCTGTGATGACGATTCAGTATGTGATGCGTGCGCGCATGATGTGTGGTTGTACCTGTTGATGCACACGCTTGCTCCTCCATGGAGGAGGCGGTTGTACATCGACGCTGCTCTGCGGTTCGTAACTGAGAAGGAGCACAGCAGTTGAGAGCTGCTACGAACGCAAAGGGGGCCTTCCGGCGAATGGGGGAGAATGCTGTAGATGTTGGAGTTTCTGTCGGTAGGGAAAAGGGAGACCGGTTCTAGAACTGTTTCGGCGAGACCAACCGAAAGAAAAAAAAAACGAAAAAAAAAAAATAGTTCGTCGACACATCTTTCAAGATAAGCGATGCGGCGCATCCTGTTTCACCATGAACATCGACGACTCATGCCTTGTTCTCCACGGCAATCGACTCCGCTTGGTCGAATTACATACAGAGGACACCACTCTCGAGGTCCTCAGCCCTAAACTCCAACATCTACGGCCGTGCCGACTCGGGCCTGGCCGTNTTGGAAAAGAGGGTAGTAAGGCAGCACCGGAAGAAGCACAACCGCGGGATACTGCTAACCTCCTGGCTGTTAAAGAAGGGTACCACGAAGG